AAAAATGCTTTTATCTGTTTTGTTTGATAGATACTTCAACATCATTTCTTTAGTGTGCTTAGTCTATGCGAAGGTTAAGTTGCAGGTATGTGTATTGAATTTCAAGGCTGGTTGGTCTTGCAAAACCTTGTTTTATGTAATTCAGCAGCATCTAGAGGTGAGCACTCCACAGTGCATGGTTTCCTTCAAGTGTTGACTGACATTTCAGAACTCTAAACTCGTGCTTTCTCTCTGTATCCTTTTGCATTTTTCTTGTCACTTTGGAGTTTGCCTGTGACTGACTGCAGCCTGTCAGGAGGAAAAGGCTGTGGCGGGGAAGGTGTATTGCTGCTGTCTACTTCGTGTCTTTCTGTTGTCAGAAGCACACTTGATGCGCTCTGATCACATCCAGGATGTGTTGGTCCCACACTTGCTGTCAGCGTGCATTCGTCCATTGCACGGTGATACTGGTGTAAACGGAAATTTGAAGTAGCATATCACCTGTGGAAGACATTTTTAGTTGTGAGCAGGAATCTGTTCCCTTCACCTTTTCTAGCTGCTTTGGAAGCTAGAGGCCCCTGTTCTGTGGGAAACCCCGGAGCAGTCTGCGCCTGTGGGGAGAGGAGTAGTGAGGTGTTGAGCAGTGGCTGCCTTCTTTTCCCTCTGCTGGTCTCCAGCCACCTTCGCAGATGAATAGACAGACAGATTGCCTGCTCTCCAAGTGGAACTTAAGACTTGCTAAGTGGGTCTGACCCGTTGTCATGTGGACTGATGAGCTCCCATTGGAGACAGCTTTGAGCTTCTTGAAAATGCTTGTTTCCCTAGTTTGTGGTCAGCCTCGAAGCTTAGGAACACTATTCTAGGACTCTGAGTTTTCTTAAAATCCAATCTATAAGTGGAGAATTAATCTTTTTTTTTTGAAGACATCTGTCTTTTTAGACCCTCATCAGATAAAATAAACCCCAATAGACATGCCATTGATTTTATTTACCTTATAGTTTAACTCTCCCAGCCATCACGTGCTTCCTTTACTTTATCCACGTGCTGCCGAACATTTTTGACTCATCAGCTACTTTACCTTACACTTCACTTCTCCTGCCTTGGCTTCTGAAGTGCCAGGATTATCGACGTGTGCCACCATCCCTAGCTTCTTCTTCAGTCCTAGGCTTTAACCATACACCTCTTACCTTTTTCTCTTACTTGAGTTCCTATGTTTTCAGCCTGTCTTTGGTTTAGCTATGGGCAATTCAGCTTCATCTCACTCATCCACAGCAATGCCATTGAACACACAGTTTAATCTGTACGTTGTAGGAGAGACCCTTACCAAGGAGCTGAAGCCCTTGTTTCTTTAAGAGAACAAGGCAGCAGGAGCAGGAGAGAAAAGAAAAGAAAAAAAAAAAGAAAGGAAAAAATACTTCAGGGGTTACATTATTAAGTTATGTAATGATTTTAGTTTGTGATGGATGACAGATGTGAACTAAGCCATTTGACAGGAAACAATGACAATACAAATGATGGCTGCGGAGCTCTGTAGTAGAGGACAAAAGCTCCTAGAGCCAGAGGACTTGCCTGCTTCCCACGTACCCCCAGCACCGCTCCCTAGGGTAGGGAGGACTCGCAGTCACCTCAGTCTCTGTCATTCAAAGAGAATCATACCGGATGGCAAAAATTATGGTTCCTTTAAAGCTTAGTTCTATAAGAACATACTCTTAAGCATCACTTAAACAAGAATACAAATTGCTGGCAAGTTGTGCTTACACTGGCTGCAGTTACTGCGCTGTGGCAATGGCGGTCTGTTGTGAAGCAGATCGATTGGGACATGCAGTGTGCCCTCTTCTTCCCTGTATAGAAGGAAAGCCCTCCAGTCTCTGCGCTGCCTTCACTTGGCAGAGTTTCGGCTCTTGTCCTTCCCCTTCTCCATCATCCTCGGAAAGGCAGTTTGCTCTGTCTCGGACAAGATTCATCGATTAGTCAAGACCCTTTTTTTCCTCCTCAGCAAAAAGACATTGCTTTCTGCTGCTGGGCTGCTGTATTTCCTTTCTCTTAATCTTCTGTCCCCCCTCTCTCTCCCACCCTCCTTTCTTCTTTCCCCCTCCTTAGAATCATAAATTAGCTCTGAATTATAGAGTGTTTTGGAGAAACAAAAGCCTTGGATGGTTCCCTGCTTTCACCATCATTTTGAGAGGGGTAATTAGCCTCTGACCATAATGAGATGCAGGTTTCCCATCTCTGTATTGCAGTGATGGGATCTCAGACCCTCTGAGCAGAATCTCCCCCCTTGTCTGAGGCTTAAAGAAGACAGAACAAGCAACACCCCCACAAGGCCCCCAAACCTTGCCTATGCTGCGTTAGCAAAGTTGCTGCCGTCTCATGTCATGTTTGTTTTTTATTGTATGAGGATTATTGTACTTAGAAAGCTTCCAGCTTTCACCGATTTGGCCTCTGAACAGTCCAGCTTCTGAGTGTGTTTTCTCTTTTACATCTGCGAAAGTAATGTTTAACTCGGTTTGGATGTACTTGTGTGTCCACACTCTGGCTCATCTTCCCCAGCTGTGGACAGATGGCATGCCCACCTCGCCGCATGCCCACCTCGCCGCATGCAGCACCATTTGAACATTCTAGGTCTCAGCTGCCAGTGTTCTTGCCATTCAGCTTTGCAGTTATTTTCACATGTTTTTGTGTTTGTGATGTTTTTTCAAGTATTGTCCTGTTGGAGGCAGGATTCGAAGTGGGATTTGGAGGAGGCTGTTGTGAAGATATGGGAACATTTTAAAGGAATTAGAAAGTAATTACTTATATGCAAAGCAAATTCATTCCTGTAGTTCTGGACTTATATTATTAGCTTATAAATTGTATAATTTAGTTGCAAAAATAGTTTTGTTTTAGAATATCATATTTAAAAGTTATGTCATAGTTTCTTCAGATACTAATTAAATACTACTAATTGAGTTTCCATTAAAATATATGTAAATACAATTAGAAAAGTTTGCCAAAGTGGCTAAGTCTGATTTTTTTTCAAAAACTGGATAAAAATGAACACTGCAAGAGAGAATTCTTTGGGCTTCCGTTTGTCAGCAGCAGAGACCAACCTAGTGTGTGTTCATATGCACAGGGACAGACCTACCTAGTGTATGTCCATACGTACAAGAACACATCTCCCTAGTGTATGTCCATATACACAGGAATGGATCTACCTAGTGGATTTTCATATGTACAGGAACACATCTCCCTAGTGTTTGTCCACATACACAGGAAAAGATCTACCTAGTGTTTTTCCATGAACACAGGAGCAGATCTGCGTAGCGTATGTCCATATACACAGGAAAACATCTCCCTAGTGGGGGAGGCACTTCACACTGAATGCATCTTTAGGCATCTGTGTCTTTTTTCTGAAGCTGAGGATTGAACCCTGGGGTCTCGCATTCTGGACAAGTCCTCTCACCAAACCACACCCCATGTCTCATTGTTTTGTACCTTTTGTCATCTTTCTCGAGCTCTGGACAATGTCTGGGTTGAGACGAATGCTTTTGCCCTCTCCTGCTGCCTTCTTTTCTGTTATGGTTTGGGTTTTCCACAGACAGTAAAGCTGTGCCTGCAAAATGAGCACTGCGTAGTGTGCAGGAGAAGCGTGTGGAAGGCTGGGGATGGGTCCCTCCCTAGGGCAGAGCTCCACTGGGGCTCTGCTCGCAGGTGTGGGACAGGATACTCCTCAGAAGGCAGGTTTCACCTCGCATTCCTGGTCATTGGGTCTGACAGGAAAGCCCGTCGAGGTGCTAGCAGCTGCCTCCTTGGTTCCCAGGAGTTTGACAAGCCAGTGACCAAAGAAATTCCCCATTTCTGTTATCCTGGTTCTAGAGTGATTACTTTAGCTCTCTGTCTGTTTGTCTGTCTGTCTGTCTGTCTGCCTGTCTCTCTCTCTCTCTGTGTGTGTGTGTGTGTGTGTGACAGAGAGAGAGAGAGAGAGAGAAAGAGAGAGAGAGAGAAAGAGAGGAGAGAGAGAGAAAGAGAGGAGAGAGAAAGAGAGTGAGTGATTTATACATACTATACATATTACAAACAGTTCCGTGTCTCCACAACCAGTCTTGTAAACCCGGTGACGTGCATTCTGTTCTGTCAGTGAACAGATGTCCCCAGCCTCTCCCGAGGGATTTTCCAACCTCGGACAGCCCTGACACTCCACCCTGTGACACAGCTCCACTTTCAAAACTTTCCAACAGAGATTTACAGATTTAAGATGGTGCAGAATTCCTGCTTCTCTTATCGAAGTTTTCTTTTTCTTTCTGTTTTCAAAATATCTAGAACTTTCCTACTTGTCAATTAGAATGTACTCCCTTAAACTCAGATACCAAACCACAGGAAAATAACCACCGAGGTGATTGTCAGAGCACAGTTTTTGATTCACTTGCTTTTTTTTTTTTTTGGAGCAAAGACTTTTTAATGAATATATTTTACAAATACACTGGAGAATCATGCAATGCTGCCTGCATTGGATGCAATCCTGGGCCACAAGTCTGCACATTCCTTTGCAACTGGACCTGTGATAGCAGAGCCTTTCATTTCACCTTTATTGTTTACTATGACCCCTGCATTGTCTTCAAAATAAAGAAACACCCCATCTTTTCTTCGATATGACTTTCGTTGTCGAATTACCACTGCTGGATGGACCTTTTTCCTTAGTTCTGGTTTGCCTTTCTTTTTTTTTTTATATTTTTTTTATTCTTTTTTTTCTGGTTTGCCTTTCTTAACCGTGGCCATCACCATGTCGCCCATGCCAGCAGCGGGAAGTCTGTTCAGCCGTCCCTTGATGCCCTGCACAGAGATGATACACAAATTTTTGGCGCCTACAGAAAACAGACATAAACAAATCAGTCCTGTATGTAGAGATGGGGTTATTGTCCGATTAGGGTCAGCCTGGACCACACAGCCAGTAACTCAGTCCCCAAAAGCCAAGAGAAAGAAACAAGCCATCTCTTCAATAGTGCCCTCCGCACACTGAGCATGCAAGCACTCTTTCACATGACACTTGTCACAACACCGTTTGAAGTAAACAACACTGGTTGCCACTTCACCCAAAAGTGGTGTTTTCGCTCTGCCCCTTCTTGACAGCTCAGTGGGTCACTAGCAAAAGGCCCACTGAGTGCTTTTAAAAGGGGGGTGGTGACGGGCCTTTTTGATTCATTTGTAACAGTATAAGATATGAGATTTGGTTCACACCGTGAATTGGGTTTTCTCTGTTGATGCAAGGGTTTGCTTTCGTAATACTATATCATTTTCATAATTTAAAAAATCAATCTGACATTTTATAATTGACAGCCAGAAGAAAACATTGCCCTTGTAAAAGTTCTGTTAATGTTCTGGTTTTTGGCAAGCATTAAAAATTACTTGTTTATTATTATTTACTTGATTTGAAATTAACTAATTTGTTCTTGAGATAGTGTCTCATGTTTGCCCAGGCTGGCCTAAAGTTCTATATGCAGCAGTGGATGATCTTGAACTGCTTATCCTTCTGCTTCCAGTCACTAGGTGGAGCAGGAACCGCCGTGTTCAGTTTTATGTGGTGCTGGGGATGGAAACCCAGGCTTCCGGCTTCATAGGCAGGCAGGCACTCAGCCAATTCAGCTACACTCCCAGCCCTTATTCTTATCTTAAACCCTGTTCTTTATGGTATGTGGTTAGTTATGAGCAGTGGCTAAGTCATCACCCTGATGAAGTGTTTCGATTAACTTGGTTATCCACATATCATTTAAGGGATTATTTAAATACTAGGAGAACATCACATACATTTTAAAGATACATTTTTGTTATCACTTGCATTTAGATGGTAAGATTTATACATGTCATACACTTCACATTTTTCCTATTTTTTCTATTTTCAAATTCTTAGTTTTCTTGTTCTTTTTCACTCTTTGCATGTGTATATATTAGACTTTTTTTTCCTAAAGCACTTTGAGGCAGCTTACCAGGATTCGTAGAGTGTAACTAGGGGTTATAAATGAACCACATGCTTAAGAACTCGGAAGCACAGATGGCAGAGATTCCGCAGCAGTAGTCAAGCTGGCTCTTGACTCCCCCTTGTCCCCGTTTGGGTTTAACTAAATGGCCTACACTGCAGTACAGGAAGCTCCTTGAGTCATCAGGGCCGGTGGTTGTGTCACGTGAACCTTCTCCAGGGACAGGTGAACAAGCTTCCAGGGTCAACTCTATGCCTTTAAGGCTGAGCCAGGTGCTAAACCTTGCAGTGAGTGACCTATATGAAGATAGTCACCTGCAGACAAGGGACCTAGGCACTGACCAACAGGTACCCTGGGTTAATTTTTTTTTTGTTTTGTTTTATGAGACAGGGTTTCTCTGTATTGTTTTGGAGGCTGTTGGACCAGCCCAGCCTCGAACTCACAGAGATCTGCCTGCCTCTGCCTCCCGAGTGTTGGGATTAAAGGCGTGCGCCACCACCGCTCGGCCTGGGTTACTTTTTAGGTGCAATGTTACTTGCTAGACCTGCAAGGGGATGGGTAAACCTCCCTTTCTTTTTCCCACACTGTTCCTAAGTAGAGAGTGGCGTTGACTTCCTTTTACAGGAAGGGAAAGTGAGACTCCAAAGAGGCTGAATACCCTGCCAGGGTGGTAGGGGAGGTGAGAGGCAGAGCTGGGGAGCTGAGCATGGGGAGGATCTGTGTAGACAGCCCAGGCTCATGTCAAGGCTGAGGCTCGCCTGCTCCAATCATCTGCCTGCCATCACAGGAATGCCTAAGAACAGTTTTCAGAGGATCACTGATTGTAGCTCTGGTTCGTCTTTGTATAGTGCTATTTATAGGACAAAGAATTTGGAATGGGGGAGAATAAAGACGATATCCCTCATACATACTGTATTAATTTTTTCATTTGGCATTGGGAGATTCCCCCCTTCTAAATCCTTTGTAAACTTTATACACAGAATGTAAGGGGTCTGTGTCAGGTTGGCCATGTAGCTCAGTTGTTAAGGGTGCTTGTCTAGTATGCACAACAAGGGCCTGGTTTCCATCCCTACCACTGTTACATAGTGAGTTTGAGGCCAGCCTTGACTGTGTTAGATCCTGTCTGAGAGAGATGCATGGAGAGGAGAGACCAAGACCTGTGTGCCCTTCTGTCTGCAAAGCTTGCCTCAGCCATGAGGTGTCCTTTGTTGGTTGCCCTTTGATCTGTTCCGTAAGGCCCCAGCTGAGGGTTGTCGTCGTGTCATCTGCTTCAGGGTTGCCCTGTCTTGGCCTGTGATTGATGCATTTCTAGTGTAGCTACGTTAGCGGATTGGAGGCGATACGGTGTTGGTTTGCGCTTGATGACACATGTACGTCCTTGCCACTGACTCTGGGGAGCCAACGGAAGTGTCCTTAACTACAACTCTGGCACGTGCTGCCTGAGTTTGACCTCTGTTAGCTTTTTTTTCTCTCTCCCAACTTTGACATCCTGCTCTCCATCTGTGTAGACGATTTTTACTTTTCCTGTACTGGTGAGGCCCAACTGTTTGAATATTACCCTCTCTCTCCATCTCTGCTCCCTGCTCCTCTCCTCAACTTGGACTCAGTTAGGCAGCCTCTCTTCCTACCTGGCCCTCATGACAGCCTTTGTGTTTGTTCTCTGACCTTTGCTCTGCCTGGTGACACTTGTTGACCTCCAAACTCAGTTTGAAGTTCTGCCACTCCAAGCCGGGATCCTGGTGTCACAGCATCAGCACCCCTGGGCAGGCCCCTGGAAGGAACTGTAGGCCTCACCCCAGACCTGTGCTGTGGAACCAGGGCTTTTCCACATTGAGCACATGACCCCAGGTGCAGGTTGCAGTTTCAGAAGCCTGGCTCCAAATACACTCTGCACAGGCTGGGACCCAGTTAAGGCAATCAGAACCGGATCCTGCTGTAGGAAGAATTGGATACAAAGTTTTCATTATGTTAATTTGCCCATCCTTGGGCAATACATGAGTTACCTTTTGAGAAAAGAACAAACGACTTTTAAAATAAATGTCTTTCCTAATTATGTGAATGGACCTGGGGCATTGAGAAAGCTTGGATAAATAAACTGCTAAGACTGTTAGGAGGAAATTCAAATAATAGCCTCTTCACTGTTTTGAAAAGTAGACTTTCTTCCTTTCCTCTTCCTCCTTGTCCCCCTCCTAATCCCCTTCCTCTCCCCCTTCCTCCCTTCCCCCTTTTGGTACTGATGATCATACCTGTACTCTATTGAGCTATAGACCAGCTCTAAAGGGGACTAATTTTTGGAAAGAATATTTGATTTAGCGAATAGAGTTTTTCAGGTTTTTACTGTTTTATACCTTGCTAGAAGGCAGCTAAACCAAATGCTAATATGTAAATGAAGGGACAGATAGGCCCATAGAGGACCTCCTTTCTTCCTGTAAATGTGTTGTTTCTATCTCCATTTAGCTTCCTTGACAGTGCTGGGAGCAACTGATAACTCTAGCAGCCTGTGTTTTTATCATGCCCTTAGGCTTTAGAGGCCCCTGTTACACTGGGAAACTGTGACACAGCCCGGATATGGACCTCCAAACTAAATGGTGAATGACTGTGGTGCTGCCTGTGAGCCTGAGAGGCAGAAATCTTCCGCCAACTCCCCACCCCCTGTTTGATCTGCCTTTATGCTGCCCATGTGGTTGTGTTGTAGGAGGCTGATCTGTGAGGAGCTCTAGTCGGTTTTTATAATTCTGTAATCTCTGCAGGCACACACACACACACACACACACACACACACACACACACACACACACACGAGGGAGGGAGGGAGGGAGGAAGGGTGCTCTGAAGTATCAGATGCCTTGATACTCTTGGTGTAAGGTGCATAGGAGGATGCAATATCATTGCCATTTATGTGCGGAGAACTAAAAATCCTAATTTTCTTCAAGACAAAACAGTTTCCTCATTTATGAACATTGGCTAGTCATCGTGCGTTTGGGATGCTAATCTGAAAGATTGGAGTGGCGGGAGGCTGGGAAGGCCTTCACTCACATGAGTGGATGGTGATAATTCAGAGGATATCTGCAGTCAAGATACCGTTTCCGTGCTGTGTCGGGTCAGGCTGAGTTGGGGAGGTATCCCATTGCCCATTGGATGCTGTTGACTTGAACAAGGAGTGCCCAGGGATGTATTGAGTTTTTCCTCTATAATGACAAAAGAGCCTGATACCAGAAACAGATGACCCTGGACCTTAGGTCTCAGGTCTTGGTCCAAATTGTCAGGCCTAGAAAATGAGCTAGCTGGCTGAGGGGAGTGAGGGGGGAAAATGTCTGCATAAGATAAAAAGAAAATAGAGCAGTCAATGAGTTTCTTAGGCTCTTGATCCAGGAAGGGCTTTAAATTATATATAGGTATTAAGGTTCTTGTGTTGCATGTTCCTGTATTTTGGCTGAATTATTTTTTCCTTCACTTCATTATTAATTTATTTTAATAATAATTTATTACGCTCCAATCCCCATTCCCCCTCCCTCCTCTCCTCCTGCTCCCCTCACTTCCTCCCACCCCACCTCTCATCTGCTCCTCAGAGAGGGTAAGGCCTCCCCTAGGAAGTCTGCTAAGTCTGTCCCATCATCTCTTTGAGGCAGGACCAAGGCACCTCTCCACCCTCATACCCCTGGTCTAGGCTGAGCAAAGTATCCCTCCATATAGAGATGGGTTCCACTAAGTCACTTTGTACATTAGTGTTAGGTCTTGGACGCACTGACAGTGGCCTCATAAATTGTCCTAGTCACACCATTGTCACTTACATTAAGGGAGTCTAGTTTGGTCTTATGCAGGTTCCCCATTTGTCAGACCACAGTTAGTGATCTCTCACTAGGTTGGGTCATCTGATTCTGTGGGTTTCCCCATCATGGTCTTGACTCCTTTGTTCATATTTTTGCTCCTCTCTCGTTTTGATTGTACTCCAGGAGCTTGGCCCATTGATTACTTGTGGATTTCTGCATCTGCTTTTATCTGTTTCTGGAGAGGGTTCAAGCTTCTTGGTTATGGATTGTAGGCTGGGTGTCTTTTGCTTTATGTCTGGTATCCACTTATGAGTGAGTACATACTATATTTGTCTTTCTGGGTCTGGGTTACCTCTCAGGATTTTTTTCTAGTTCTGTCCATTTGCCTGCAGATTTTAGGATGTCATTGTTTCTTACCACATTTTCTTTATC